CAGGAAATTCTGGCACAAAAAACATTTATAAAACATTATGATTACATATCTAAAGAGTAATGCGAGAAAAACCGATTCAATTGAGTGAAACGCAAACACAATTGTTGGGGGAGTGAGAGGAATGGCATCTAAGAGACTTGATAACTGTTCACAAAGTCCAAGCGCATAAAGTTCATTATTAACAAATATCCAAACTTTCATATATTTCAGACAATTATGATAACGAGTGACTTTCAAAATTATAGTTTGTTCAGTGAAATGCAATATTAATATTCAGTTTAATTGAGTCTAATGTACGAAATCTCTGGCTATGCCATCAAAACGTATGCATTCATTGCAGTGATTGCTCGCAACAGAATTGTATATAATTTTAAGCCAAAAGCAAACAATATATGGCATTGATATCAATATATGGATAAAAAGCGTATCTTTTTTTGTGTAACAAATTTACAATTTTGTCTCAGCTATAATATTACAGCACTTTGAATGTACAATGCTGAACTATCTAAACTATTTAATATTGTTTCACATTGGATGTGTAAACGCAATGCAATAAAAGTGAATAAATAAAGTGTGCAAAAAATATATGTCTTTCCCTTTTAATCACTTTATGCCAAGCACCGGCTGATTGTCTGCGAGCCTTATCGATGCGACAAACGGGTCCGTAGACGAGCAGTGAGATGACAAACACGACGTTCCCCACGAGGCTTATGATGATTAGGTATGTGTAGTAAAATGGCTGCAAATTAAGGCCATCGGCGGTGCTCTCCTTCAGTGACACCCAACCGAAGATACAGAGGAATGACTGCAGGAATCCATTGAAGAATTCGGCGCAGAATGTGGTGACAGAGAAGTAGAGGAATAGCATATAGAATAGGAATTCCAAGAATAATGAGTTATTCATGGTTTCAGTGGTTTAGAGAAATCAATTGATTGGTAGAAGTGGTGAGTAATAGAGATTTGCAATCAATTAATTGATTGTATTTTATAACGAAATTAATTTGAATTGAATGTAATTGACAACTATTGATGAATATGCTCATGCTAATAATGCTGCGATGAAATCACAAATTTACAAAGTACTTTGCTCACTTACACTAAATACAAACAATGATTACTCGCGCAATTTATTGAATTAAAATATCTAACCAGGGTTTAGCCGCTATTCCACCCTTTACTATCATTGTAACATTGCATTAATTTTGAATGTGTGTTCATGACTTGTATTTAAATCATTTAAATTCAAATCATAAGTCATTCAACAGTTATCACCAAAAATTTATATCATTTAATAATAACTGAAACCAAAACTCAAATACATTTAACAAATTTACAAAGTACTTTGCTCACTTACACTAAATACAAACAATGATTACTCGCGCAATTTATTGAATTAAAATATCTAACCAGGGTTTAGCCGCTATTCCACCCTTTACTATCATTGTAACATTTATTTTGTTAACACATTGTTAATTTTGAATGTGTGTTCATGACTTGTATTTAAATCATTTAAATTCAAATCATAAGTCATTCAACAGTTATCACCAAAAATTTATATCATTTAATAATAACTGAAACCAAAACTCAAATACATTTCAGAAAGAGTGGAACGAATGGAGATAATGAAGACAATGATTGAAGAGAATACTTCGGAAGTGAGTGGCGGTGACCACGAAAGCCAAGAGCAGCGGGAAGTGTCTGCAAGGGTTGAGACCATCAGAAAGCGATTCCACGAATCGAGCCAACACTTGGATCAGAGACTCAAAGACATTGTGGAGGAAGTGGTGGACCAGGCGTTCACCAAAAGCCAGGTCTTCGATGTCGTGTCGTCTCTGATCGAAGAGGGGATGGATAGGCGTCGGGGCCCGACCTGGCATTGCTTCGTCGGTCAGGCATTTGGCGCCACATATTCGCCAACGAAAGACACAAACATCCGATACTTTTACGGCTCCGTCACTGTTATCATCTTCAGGGCCGTCACGAAGAGTCCGTTCAAGAGATCAATGACTCCAAAGAGGAGTCTATCCGAGGGTTTGAATGCAATGAAGGGATTACTCAACAAATAATAGCCATTCGTTCCCTTATTCTCAAAGTTTTGGTTTCAATTCAAGAGTTTATTCAATCATTTATTAGTTTTTAAACTCTATTTTATGTAATATTTTTAATAAAATTATGCAAATATTATATTTAATACAATATTTTTCATTCAATAGAAACACATAAAATTGAATATTAAGAAGATTATAAATAATTTTCTTAATTTATAAGTTAGTGTTAATGTTTATCTTGATTAAATCTTAATACAGTACTTTATTTCTTATATAAAGAGATTGTATGATTGCATACACTTTTATATTCAATTGTAGTTAATTGCATACAATTGCATGCAAAATGCTATAAATTTGTATACAATTTGTGTTCAATAATTGCATTCAACGTAATGTTATAATATTGAAAATTCTCGCATATAATCAGTAAATTAAATACTATTTAATTGTAATCAACAGTCTAACCCCAATTCAATCAACAACTAGAAATAGCTTTTATTGTCAATACTCGAGTCAATTCTGTATACAATTTGAGTCATCAATACAATTCATGACATTTGTTTTAACGATTAGGATATGAATGCGTTTTATACAAACACTCGTCTGAAGTGTTATACAAGAACTTATGATTTAGTTTTGAAAATAAATTATTTAATTTGTTTAATGAATCAATATATTCATAATTTAATTGAAAATACAATTAAACACAAATAAGAGATAATACATTAATAGGAAATTACTTTTAATTATAAATTTAGTAAATAATCTAAATATTTGGTGTCATATTCGATGATAAGGTATACTGTATTTGGAAGGCATATAATACAGGTGCCAACATGTATACCATAGGCTTATAATATTTAGGTATGCCTCTAAAGCATACCCAGCCTGTCATTCTCCTTGTTACCACTTTTCTCGAAAAACATAAAGTCCTGTCAAACAAGAAGTTTTTAAAATCATTCAATTTGTATGAATCAAATGTATACATACAATGAGAAAGCATGCGCCCAACATAACGGCCTTAACATTGACATCCAGGTCCATTGGGAACGATATGCCGAAATTGTCGGCGTCGGTGAACATCTCTCTCGCCAAACCTGACCACTGTTTAGTGATTTTTCCCACTTGTTGTTTGCCATCCCGTGACAGCACCTGGAACTCCACATCACCACAGATGCTGAACGTACAAAAAGGACCCTAAATGGCGGGACAGGTATGTCGTGATAAAGGTATTTGGTTTGATGAGTGAATCAGATAATTGTCACTCGATTTCAATTACTTCAATACGAAGAACGGTTTCGCCGGACGCGTCTTCGATACGAAATTTGGGACAAAATATACTCCACTCCTGAACCACATAACCGATTACATTGCCGGGTGGGGCCATCACCTCCAGGCGCTGATTGGGGGGAAAAATTAAAGTTAATTAATTTATGTTTAATTTAATTTAGTGCTAAAATAATAAGTTGAATGAATGTGAAACTTGTGAATACCTGTAGACAACAGAAACAGCAACAGGACGTACACCTAAAGGGTCGGTACAGATGAATGACTTCTCGCTGAGCGTTGTCTAAGATTTTCATATCAAACGGTCGGAGAGCACCGCAACAGTTACGGGTACAGCAGTCGGTGTCTGTTCAACACATACGGTATTCATATATCTTATTACATCATATATTTACAATTATTTATAATATTGTAGTTTTTTGCATGTTTTAAGATTGGAGAGAGAGAGAGCTAATTGTATTGCGATAAATATATAAATATGTCATAATTCTAGATCCTTTAATATAAAAATTTATTTACAAAGTTTAGATAAAAATATCATAGTTATGAAAAACTAATAAATAATATTTGAAATAATAATCTTTTATGTGTCTATATGTTATCCAATATAAGTTACTTTTGTATTGCAAAATATGTCATTTAAACTAGTATTCCCTACAGAATATCAGATTGCATACATTTATAATGCTCACAATACCATTTATTTTTATCAGTTCATCCGTAACTATAAATATTACTTTCATACTATATTTTACACAAAAAAGGTATACATTATAAGAGGTCAAAGGTCAACGAATAGTACAAAACTCATAATAATTAAGTAAAAATATTGGCATAAAACACAGCAATCAAATAAACGCCAAGTCATGCCTACCTTCGACCGCATAATAGACTTTTTGTCCCAAACTATTCTTAATCGTGTATTTGTTGTTTGTCTCGAAGCCAGTGAACGCTATTTATAACACGAGTTGTATAAAAAATAAAATATTTTATATTACATTAAACGTGGCATACCTTCGAGGAGTTCCACCTTTTGGTGGACTAACAATTGGTCGACAGCCGTAAGGTATTCCAGACCCGGGGGACAGTTTATGGGCTGCGACGGTGCGCTAATCCATTGGTCTAATCAATTAATTTCATTATAAAAAGTATAAAACTTAGTCAAACTATAGTCAAATACCAGGGCCAGGCTGTGGGGGTCCGTAATTGCCTGGCGGTGGCGGTCCGTAATTGCCGGGCGGTGGTTGGCCATAAGCAGCCGGCACATATGGCTGAGCATAGCTTTAGTATATGTAAAACTATTAATAAAATACACTGTTTTCAAGAAGTATAATCATACAAACCCTTGCGGCTGATTATGAATGGGTTGTGACATTAGGTGTGTTTAGTGTTTTGTGGTATTTAAACGACAAGTGAATAAAAATCAAACAAAAGTAATGGACTTAAAGCCAGAGACAAGTAGTTGTTTCCAAAGTGGATGGAAATCATACATAAAGATCTGATAGCGAGAAGAGGCCACACCTGTTAGATATGCTAACAGACAATACTATCGCTGCGATTCAAGTGTGTGCAGAGGTAGGGGACGGTTGGGGGTAAGGGATGTGAAGTTGATTGATTGGGAATTCTAGTTATCGAATTATTCACTCTCTAGTGAGTAACCCTGGTATAAATTCAATATTTACAGCCAAATTGTTGCACTGGATCTGTGTGTTGGAAATGGTAACCCTTAAACTCTTTGCGCACACTTTTCGCATACAAATACTGTATAATTAAATATAATACTTATTGTATCATCACTTCCAATGGTTACGATAGAGAGTGGAGTAGGGCTAAGAAAATACTGGAGATACATAAAAGTGTTTTAAATATAAACTTTTTGGTTTATTTTTCTAACGATACTCACCATAAACTTTATGGCATAAAGTGATTAAAAGGGAAAGACATATATTTTTTGCACACTTTATTTATTCACTTTTATTGCATTGCGTTTACACATCCAATGTGAAACAATATTAAATAGTTTAGATAGTTCAGCATTGTATATTCAAAGTGCTGTAATATTATAGTTGAGACAAAATTGTAAATTTGTTACACAAAAAAAGATACTCTTTTTATCCATATATTGATATCAATGCCATATATTGTTTGCTTTTGGCTTAAAATTATATACAATTCTGTTGCGAGCAATCACTGCAATGAATGCAATGAATGCATACGTTTTGATGGCATAGCCAGAGATTTCGTACATTAGACTCAATTAAACTGAATATTGCATTTCACTGAACAAACTATAATTTTGAAAGTCACTCGTTATCATAATTGTCTGAAATATATAAAAGTTTGGATATTTGTTAATAATGAACTTTATGCACTTGGACTTTGTGAACAGTTATAAAGTCTTTTAGGTGCCATTCCTCTCACTCCCCCAACAATTGTGTTTGCGTTTCACTCAATTGAATCGGTTTTTCTCGCATTACTCTTTAGATATGTAATCATAATGTTTTATAAATGTTTTTTGTGCCAGAATTTCCTGTATATACTGTAGTGTATATTAAGTTATATATTTAATAATTTATGGCTCAATTGTCTGAAAATATATTTTGTTTTCAATACATTTAATATGTTTATAAATTAATAGAATATTTTATGTCTTAATTTCAGACAAATACAATTAGAAATACACAAAATATTCTGTTAAATTCCTGTCATATAGACCCTGAATATTATGACCCTTAGAATATATCCACGTTACTTTACAGTGCATTAATTGTGATAATAAAGATTTATTATAGAATACTGATTACATAAATTGCCTCATTTTTAATATAATTATCAATTGTGTAATAGTTCCTATGAAATTAATAAAACTAAAGTAGAATTCTCTGAAAAAAAACTAAAGAAACTGAAAAATGTGTTAATACACCTTGGCACTCATGAGGCAAAATCTTAAGGAATTATATACAAGACATTAGTCTACCGAATGGTACTGTTGTTTAGGAAGATCGTTAAAAATGTATAATAAAAGTAGAAATATCATAAATATTTTCAACAATATTATTAGATGACCACAGAATTGATTAACAAATCACGAGACAAAGTAAACAACAAAAACACTAAATCATTAAATTTTAAAATGCATTAATTTCTGAAGTCATCAAAATTCTTAAGCAAATTAAATCAAAATTCTAAATAATAATCTCAAGAGCTGATCCATCAATACAAATATTGTGTGAATGTCAGGGAGCCAAGGGCTAAGACAAAAGTGGAATTTCGATGAATATGTGGGAGATATTGACAATAAGTGGTACTTTCCACAAACGATGGTCGGTGTCAAAGCTGATCAGTTGGATATCATCAAAGACAGTGAACCAAACCAGTCGGCCATTAAAGCCATGGCTGGTATAGTAGACACATCGTTAGGAAGGTATCGAGAAAGTTCTCCACCAGGTTCTCCAGTAGGCTCTCCAGTAGGCTCTCCCAAAGGTTCTCCAAGAGGAGGTTCTCCATATGGCCAGAAAGCAACACCGAAGACATGGGTTTCACAAATAGATCCACAATTAGTGAAAGACCTGAAGGCCAACGAAACTAAAGTCGAGGCCCCGGAGTCTCCTCGAAGGGTCAGACAGAGGACAAGCGGTCAGGAAAGAGTTCGCAGATCTTTATTCGTTGGGTCCGATGAAACCACAACAAAGACATTTAGTCCACAAATCCAATCAACAACAAGAGGTCCCACAGGCACTCACTCATCGATTAGATCCTTCCAAACCAGGGATTATAAGAGACGATATAACGTGCCTCCCATTCCGCCATACAGTCCAGAAATACAATCACATACACCGGGACAATGGTGTGGAACAGTTCCCCAACAAACCTCGACACCAATCAAAGGGTATGAAGGATATGGCGCCAGAGACAGCATTGGTGTCAGTCCTATTCCAAGACACTCATCCACCGGAAGTCCTACAAGAAGTTCTGTCAACAAACTGCCGGCGCCTTCTATGGCTGGCACGAGAGAAGGGTTCGCTGATTCAGATTATAAGAGAAGATTTTTCGTACCACCGATTCCGCCATTTAGAGGCACTGCCGAAGTGGAAGCAAACGATGAGCCGCCCTGGACTGGATGCCCCCCAACGCGCAGTAGAGATAGTCTGTGGAGTACAGAATCAGATGGTAGACCTCCCGAGGGAGTAGATGTGGACGACTTAGATGACGATGTCTTCCTATCACCCAAATCGGGCCAAAATATATCCTCGAGTGGACAGTGGTCTCCCGACAAATGGTTTCTAAAAAGCGATTATAAAAGAGATTATTCCGTACCACCCGTTCCGCCATTTAGTCCAATCCAATCGGCAACAACAGGCACCACTGGAAGTCCTAAAAGAAGTTCTACAGGCAGTCCACCGGGCAAACATCGGGCCCTTCCCGATCCCTACCACTTAAGACATATTACGCCCCCTAAGAGTCACAGATTGAGTGGAGTTTCAGTAACCAAAGACATGACACCCATTATGGAAGAAGATGAGGAATCAGATGGGAATGGCATCCCTGACACGACTGGAGCGCCCCCACGACAGCGCACATTCACTCAAGGGTCAGACCGCAGACCCCCCGAAGGGATAGATGTCGATGAGTTAGATGACGATGTCTTCCTGTCACCCAAATCGAGTCAAAATATATCATCGAATGGACAGTTGTCTCCAAACAGATCGTTTCAAAACACCGATTATAAGAGAGATTATACGGTGCCTCCCGTTCCGCCATTTAGTCCACAAAGACAATCGGGTGAAGGTGTCGATACAATTACCAAACAAACCTCGACACCAATCGGAGGGTATTCAGGATTTGGTGGCAGAAAAAGCATTGATGTCAGTCCTATTGGTAGGTCCTCCCTCACAGAAAGTCTTACAAAATCAAACCAAAATACTAAGGCATCCCCTCCCAGAGCACCCCCTCCCAGACCACCCGCCACTTCTACCGGATCTCCATATCAAAGGAGTCTACTGTCTTGTTATTTCAAAGTATACGGTAAAGTCCAGGGTATGTCTCCTATAGTTACTATTGTTGACTACAATAGTTATGTCTTTTCAATGTCTTATAATTTTTTTCTTAATTATTTTTCAGGAGTTTATTTCCGTAAGGTTTGTATCTACTGTCAATTTATTCACTCCTTTTGTTTTTATATTTTAGGCTAAATGTTGTAATTAGTGATTAATTGAAAATTGTTTGCGTTTTTAGTACACAAAACAAGCGGCGGATCAGTTGGGAGTGTTTGGGTGGTGTATGAATCATAGCGACGGCACTGTCATCGGAGTCATTGAGGGGTCAGAAAAGACCGTCAAACAAATGTAAGTATTTTCTGTTCATATATTTTCTATATATTCAGTAGATATCTCTGTAAACATTATTTTAAGTTTTTTCTAAAAAGACTTTTATTTACTAATGAATTTACTCGTGGTTATTAGGCAGGAATGGTTGCAAAAGACCGGTAGTCCTAACAGTCGTATAGATAGATGTGAATTCAATTCAGTCAATTATAACCCTGTCCACCGATACACCAAGTTTTCTATTTATTATGATTAACTGAATGATTAGAGTCAATAAAAATTTCTCAATCTTTCAAATTTATTGCAAATCTCAGTAATTTTAGAAATATATTTTATATGCTGTATTTTCAATAGAATAATAGACGCGTTTAAAAGTTGAGAAAGTTATATAAAGTATAGAAAGTTAATTTATAAATTTAAAGTATTTTAAGTCCAAATCAGTCTTAATATAAATTACATAGTTTTGCACTTTAGGCTTGAAAAGTGCACTCATTCAAGGATATAACAAACACAGTGTTGGTTATAGCATTCATATTATGATTAGAGATTTACACAGATATCAGGAAAGTTAGTACATTTCGACTGATTTGATGAAAAGTATAAAACTTTGCTAAAAATTATTTTATTTGTTAAGTTGTTGTGAATTGAATTGAATAGAGAATGAAGACTCCTTTGGGGTACTTCCCGATCACCACTTTTAGGGGTTATGTGTTTTGCTACTGTTTGGCACTGTTTTATGGATTCAAACAATTGGTTGCGATTATCACAGAATTACTGTCCAAAAGGAG